AATACATATAGCTCAAGTGTACACAAACACTAACCATGTATAGGAAAGCACACATTTAGTAAGTACATACTAATATTTAGACAAATTTGTTTGTGTCCTTCCCGTTAGCGTGCAGTGGCGCTAGTGTAATTAAATATGTACAATGTAATCAATGCGCAATCATAATATAAAGTATGACTGTCACTCAATAGATGGAGCTACTTAATGGTTTACAATGTTTTTATTATTAGATGTTTTGGATTTTTAAATTTACCTTTCTTTTAATTATTGCCCAAAGTCTAAATAAGCCGACAGCAGAACTTATTTAGAAATTATAGGGCGGAGGATTTCAAACGAATTTATTTCGGTCCTCCTCTGTCATAATAAAATCATTTAAACTGTCAGGAAGATTACTTTTTAGATTCTGAACTTTGACACATTGAAAGCCTAAACTTTACTTAGTCATGGCTATAACTCATGTTCCGTAACTGAAGTGAATGAGAAAGGCAGCCTTTACGTATTCCCAATCCATCTTTCGGTTTATATTTATCATAATTTTGTCTAATGTTGGTCCCGTAACGCAAATCATAACCTCACTAGACGTACTTAGGGTTGTCAACTTAAGTCTTTAAGCTTTAACGTATATAATGTTTCTAGAGACCTAAACAGGTCGTATTATATCCAACGAATAACAGAAACACCAAGAGAATACAATATAATAAGAGATGATAGTACATAATAAAAACGGACCAAAAACAAAAACTTTGTACATATAACTTAGGTATATTAAAACATCAATATATAAATTAACAGAGTTTGGAATTAATAAAATATATAAATGCAAGAACGAGAACGAAATGTTAAACACTGTATTCAATTGGAATTTTTTTGCTTATAAGTAAAAAACTATCCAATGATTACGTATTCGGTTGAAAAATCGAATATAATATAATTAGAGTTTTCAACCAAATACTTAAACTCCTTGGTGTCTTGCTTCTATCTAATTTAATAAACTATTTGAAGCAATCTGCGTATATTCTGGAAGATTAGGGAACTTATCAATCTAATAAATAGGGAATCGTTTAGTCTTCAAGGTTTGATTAAGAATTGAACTATTGCAAAGATTACTTCTAAATTACTTTTGATTTCCTTCGTATCAATAGAATTAGGTAAAGCAAACTGTGAGAGCTAATGGGCAAAAGAAATCGTTTCGTGGTGGCGTGTTTGACAGCCCTAGCGGCCTTAAGCGCAGTTCACACGGGCGGGACGTCGCGAATCGAGCAGGTAATGGTGGACGTCGCGATCCATCATTCGCGTGGACATCGCTATTGAGTGATTTGTTCAATTTCGCTGCATTAGCTTGCGTAATTTTTGGTAATTGTACGCTTTCATATTTTTGATACCTCGACTGCGCTAAATATAACGCTATATGCGTAATACTTAGCGCGGTCGAGGTATCTTTCTAATCATTTATAATATTTGTTATTTATAAGATTACGAACCTTTTTATCTAACGTTGTATTTCGTTTAAGCCAGTATTTCACGTAAATATAAAACGTTGTTAAGTTCTATGTATTTTAAACACAACACATTTTAGTTAACTAATTTAACTACAATCAATATAAACATAAACATAAAAATAAACATGATGAAAAGATTATTTTCGTAAAAGAAATAAGAAAATGTCTCACTCATTTATTCTGGAGACAGTTTCTATAAAAGTTAGATGTTTTATCTATTAATCAAAAGTCACCTCATAGCAAATTAGATAGTACCTAAGTACCCATTTTATTATGTGTACTTTATGAGTAAATTATTAGTCATCAATAACTAATTTTTAATTATTCTGTATTAACTTATTCTGTAGCATCTATTATTTAGGTACTCTTCATACTCGATAAATATATCTTACACATTGTAAGCAATCCCTGCATTTACATCTTCCTTTGTTTTAATTAAATAATTTCTAATGACTATACATTTTTCAAATAAAGTTTTGAGCATGGCGGTAGAGTTATACGAGACCGGTGATTTACGTAAACAAACAATGCCATCAGCATCACATAAATTGGTCCGAAATAAGAGGCATCGCCTTTCTCTGTCCGCCGTCTCGGGCGGGGCCAGCGCTGAAGCCACGCCACGTATTAAGGCCTCTCGTGCACCTCTTGTGAGGTCCCGTGGTAATTTATTAAAGCCCACACACTTTCGAAACGTCCATTCAAACACTATGAATTATCATCGGGCTTTTTAATTCCGGCCTAACGGCGCGAATTCCTACTAATTAAGACATTACAATTTAATACAGAATTCGTATGTTAATTCCACGGCTCTGGAGCTTTCCCTTATCGCGGATAACATCTATTTCGAGTTACATTTGTACGTTTATTTAATGTTTTATTGCGTTTTCGTGATTTCGAATTTTTGAGGCGGCAACATTAGAGCAAATGTGGATTGCTCATTATTTCAACACCAAATTGCCAGTGGGAATGTTTAATGGACGATTTTCTGTTTCAACAAAGGCACAAATTGCGCCGAGGGGTCCTTAATAGGTTTCTATGACTATTGCTCAGGTTTTTTTACACGACTATTATTAGCCTAAAGGTTAGCGGCCAATGGCGAAACGCGAGTTAATTAAAACATTAATTTGTAATTTTATTGTGCGGGAATAAAGTAATTAATATGCATGAAATTAATGGAAATATTTAGCAGTCTTTAATGACACTAGATACCTACCTAGTACCTACTAACAGTAGGCAGAAAAATTATTTATGTTTTAGTTAAAATTTAATAATGTAAGTCTACAGTCTACAATTAATATACAATTTCTAGCAATCTTTTAAAGCTTCACTAGCTCAAACAACGATATTTACAAATACGTTTATTAGCCATAAAAATTGCTACTACATACTAACTAAGTATTAGAATACGGTAGAAAGTCACCTACACCTCATTTGTGATTAATTGTAAAACTATTGATGCTTATTTTAGAGGACCATAAATTCTATTTAATTGGCTTCAATTTTGTATTTTTATTGTGGAATGGAATTTACTGTTCATAATGCTTATCATTATTTAACTGAATATTGATGTGACAGTGTAATAAAATTGTAAGACATCTCTTGCTACTCAAAGTAATCATTACAATTTCTTTACCATTAAAATCTCTACTCCTCAATAGATGGCGTTATTATAAAAAAATATTTTTTGCGGAGGTACTGAGATCTGTTACAAAAATTGTTATGTTTGCATCTATGTATATTCTAAGTGACATCTAGAATTGCCAATGAGAATTGGTTTTAAATATATTTTGATTGGTTTTTGGTTTTGACTTTTGGTACCGGCAACAGTTTCTTTTCCATAAATAGTATTTTTACTGTGAAAATATTTACGCGAAAATATTACGTGAATACATAAATAGCCAGGAAAATGTAAGTAATATTTACAGTTTCCATGCCTTAAAACTAGAGAACTGAAGTGAAGAAAAAATTAATAAAATGAATCCACAACTTATTAAAAAAGTTATCAAATCCAGCAACGAGACATGTCCAGAGCTAGTCTATAAGAACCCATTACTGGATCCCAAAGTTACAAAAGCTCTAGCGAAGAGCTTCGTGAAGATTCTAACATCGAAACAAAGTACTAGCGTAAACAAATCTTTACGTCTCGCGGTATTGGAAAACATTCGTAAAATATGCAAGTTGGAACCCGAAGGCCACACAAAACTACATGAAAACCATAGAAAATTACTAATAGATGTTTATAAACAGTCTCATTTATCCAAAACAGGGACTTATGAAAATGATGAAAGACTAACAGCATTTTTAACAAGAACATTTACTGATTTAGATTTTAAAACAAATGAAAGTGTAACAGTGAATCCTGAAACTATTCAAGCATTATTTAATCTAGATTTAGGCAATAGTAACTTTATATCTGACAATATAATACACTGGAATATAGATGAGAAATGTCAAGTACTTTTAAACAATATTTGGAATCAAGACCGTACGAAAGTTGACGATGTAGTGATAAAACTAAAGTCAGAGATAGAAACAATGTTATTAAATTTATGTCATAAGAGCCTTGAAGAGCAACCAAATAAGATAGATTTTGATGGAGAGCCTTATTCCAGATTATTTAAAACATGTGCCGTTTCACCTACATGTTTTCAAATCTGTAGTTCTATATTAAATGCAGTATTCATATCAACGAATTATGACTCACAGATCCATAATTTGATCACAAAGTTTGTTAGTATAGTTAGAAACAGCTGTAGAGACATAGCGTTTCCTTCTTTGTACCATGCGGACATAGGTCATGTTGTAATATTGCTGGATATTGATGTAAATATTGTACCTATTTTGTTAAGAGAAAAGTATGTGTCTGAAGCTGTAAATTATTTGAATAATATAAAAATTGTCTCCCATAGTAATTTTGTATTGTTATTATCGCATTTTCCACAATGGTTCAGCCTTTCGTAGTTGGATTTGCAATCTACAAAAAAATTTAATTGTAATGTTTACACCTAGCTTTAAATACTATTGTTAAAATAAAATGTGATAACACAGTAGCTCGATAAAATAAAATAAATGTATAACCGCTAATCCTGGTTGTATAACATTGTTTTTCAATTGTGTTAACATTATAATTAAGTTCAAAAGGATTATCATACCATATTTATTGAATATTAACTTTTACTATGTCCTCATAACTAGCTGTGATATATTGTGCCATTTTTAATGTATCAGTAAAGTTTTATTATCTTAAGAAAGCAAAAAATTAATTCGGAAAACTGCTATATCAGCTGCCATATTATGTAAACTGTTTGAAATAATGTAAATAAATAATATTATACAAATTATGTTGTCTCAATTATTATAAAAGATTTAATGGTCTCTTTAAGTAGTTATGTCCGAGTCATATTAATTTGTTTACATACTTATAATAGACATCAAGTGTGTAAAAGAAACAAACACTAAAATTACTATTTGAAACAATCGAATGTTCCAGAAAAAAACATTTTATTCTTTCTTTTCACACAATCCTAATCTCTTCAATTGTATATGTATATCTCCTTTACTGGTTCTACATCCATATTTGTTGTACAGTATACGCGCCTCAGGGGGTGGCAATACTTTCTTCGTCTTCTTCATACCGTGTATTAAAGCGGTGATATGACGGTGGACTGATTCCCAGTACGCGAGAGTAACATTGCATATAGCGCAATGATACAGATTTGGACGTATCTGAAATGGAACAAAAAGGTAAGGATTTTTTGTTGAACTAAAAAAAGTAACATTATAGATTATACAATATAAATATTAAATACGTACGTTATAGTTTACGCGAGTAGTACACATTTGAATAAAACACTTTAAGTCTCCCCGTGGCCACGGCTGCTGCAAAGCATCCGAAACGTCGGGCCGAAGTTAAAAATCATTTTCAAATAAGTTTAACTAATATATCGCGTTTTAAACCGTTAAAGTGTTTTATTTAAATATAAATATTAAAAAATATATATAAATAAATGTATATTCATTTTTTTAATGATAAGACATCTAACAAGATGCGCTGTCAACTATTTTGTTTTGGATATTCGGAAATCCAGAAACTGAAATCGAAAGCAATTAACCAACCGCTTTTTTAGTGGCCCAGCCGGATTTTTGACATTCCTACCACCCATTTAATCTCCAGATTTTCAGTTAAACAAACATGTTGAACCCGGTGACGATCGAACCCCGGCCCCTTTTAAAGCAAAAAATTGCCGCGGTTAAAAAAAAAAACCTGCCAAAAGTAAACTCGAAAAAAAGAAAAATTATGTGTCTAATAGTATTAACTCCACATACCGGTTATCAACGAATTTGATCATTCCATACCACAACGTTCGAGACGAGAAAACGATATACAATTTTTTGGGTGTTGCATTTTGTTTATCAAAATAGTTGTTTGTTATTTCCCTATCTCATTAGCCTAGCCAGCTTCTTCGTACTGAGAGTTTTGTGGCCTAATAATAAACGATTGTCAAAAACTCACCATCCGTATAAACTCCAACCCCCCTTCAACTAACATAACGTGACACGACAAAACTCTATCGATATGAGCTTTAGTTTTGCAATGGTCGTCAGCTAATTGCTCCTTTATCACCTCATCGCATGCGAAGCATTTCATTTCACCAGATCCCTTCATATATTCACCCATGAGCAGCAAAGAATATCCATCTATAGATAAATAACTTTTTACGCAGTATGCAGTGTCGGTCTTGAAAATATGTTTTAAAAACAACGTAAATTTTTGCTTCTCACAATACGGTTCTTCGTGTTGGCTCCGTTTCCTAAGCCCTTTTAATTCTAGAAAGCCCTTATGTCGTTGCCCTTGGACATGTTCTATTGCCTGTTTCATGTGAGCAGAGATAGGTACGCAGCATATAGTGCAAAATCCCCAACTACCGGTCCTGTTCAGTTTCATGAAATTCTCTCTACAGTATGCCGCGAGATCCTTCCTCCTTTTTCCATGGTCTGTGACTTCTGCGAAATAAACTTCATACGATTTTTCGTTTTCGGTGTCTTTCTGCCTTCGAGATGTATGCTTCTTTCTATGATCGAGCAAGCATTCAAGAACCGCTGTCATTGTTTCCCCACACTCTAAACATTTGGCTTTGTCACTTTCATCTATATCGAAGAATGAGCTTTGTAATTTCAGGAGGGCTTTGCCTAGCTCCGGGTCGTCTTTGATCAGGTGTAAATCTTTCTCATTCAAAACCTTCGCTTTAGCTTTCAAAGTCGCCTCACATACAGAGTTCCAATGTTTCTCCAAATCAGTTATAGGATATAAGTTGCTGCACAAAAAGCAGTAGAATTTATCCTCTCGTAACTAAAACATAAATTGACTGAATAGTTTATATTAACCTTTATTTAATGACTTAAATTTATTACCTTTAATATTATTAAAATAAACGCTATATTTATAGCTATGGTAAACTAATACGTTTACCAATAGTATAAGTACTAATTACTTTACCAATAGTATAATAGTAAGGGCGTACTGTACCAGATTAGAAATCGCATCTACAATGTTAGGTACATTAATAATTATATTTATAATGCTAACGAGCTTTTTTGCCGCTTATTGTAATTGTAACAACCTTTCTATAATATTGCTTCTCAAACAACATCGTTTTCGTTTGTATCAAGTTAATTATGTGGACATTTAAAGTCACATGAATCGCTAAATCTCGAATTTCCCTCGCGCACAATGTGCAGAAATCCTTATTGATGCCGTGCCACTCCAACAAGTTGATTTTGAAATCACCGTTGACAGAGAACGAGCCATCTGCTTTTCGTAAAACAAAAGGAGAAATTCCTTTTGCGTATCTCGGGATTGTTGAATTCTCTTTAGCATCTTTATGGGACTTGGTATCTCTGTGCTTTTTAGCATTTGTTGTGATTTCATTGCAGATCTCGCAGTAGTAGTCTTCTCTTATCTGTGAAACAACGGATAATTATTTTAATTCGATCATCATTGTAAACATGGGTTTTGTCTTAAATAATAGGTGTGAATGATTTCACGGGTTACAATAAGAATCAAACAAATTGAAGCATGTAATAAAATAAAATTAGATATTTCTAGTTACTTCTTACTTTAAATATGGAATCTTTACTATAGGGGCCATCTTTTTCCAAGTTCTTAATTGCGACGCGATGTTTTTCCCATTTAACATGTTTGTCAACACCTTCGAAGCTAACAAATGATTCTTGACAGAGAAAACAGTGATAATCTATTTCACCGCAAAGAATGAAATTCTTGCTATAGTGTTTCAAATCTCTATTCATTTTTATGACAAATATATCTACGTGCCAAATAAGCCATACAATATTTAAAAATTAAGGGTAGTATTAAAACCACCAAAATTCTATTTTCATAAAATTTTAACAACTACCCACATAACAACATATTATCTTGACTCACATTTTATCGATGTTCTCATAGTATGGAATCTTTAGTTCGATAATTTATTTGTTTAGGAATAAAAATTATTGTACTGTAAGAGAATTCAATGCAGCGTATTTAAATATAATAAGATTATAATAAATTAGATGCTTATCGAATTAGGAAATTAATTTTAGTTTTAAAAACTTTTATTATTTGTAAAGGTTCAAAACCTTAGTCAAAACTTCTTCAGAAGTTTTTTTAAACTATTACTATGATTATCTATGTGCGCGTAATTTTTTGACACTTGACAGTTGACATTGAAGTTTAACTACCAATGGCTTACGAGTTACGATGGCTTCATATTTAATCGGCATTTTGAGAAAATAATAAAAACTAACTCAATGATCCAACAAAATTACGCATTTTCTTCAAAATTTCGTCAATTTTAAGTTAATTAAGTTTAAAGACAATAAAGTACGTGAATTTAGTAGCTATTAGTGTGATACCGAGTTTGTTTTGGAGCTTGAAAATGAGCAAGCGGCGTCGCGCATCATCTGGCGCAAGCCGTGGCGCTGATGATGATAGCGATGATGTAGAACTAAGCAACCCAGGGCCGCCACCTTCTAGAAAGAAGAAGAAATTAGAACCGGTAAGACCATACATGGAGCTATTCCGTTAGTACCAACTGTTTGCAACTTTAGTTTTAGGTTGCAAATAATTAATTTGTAGGTAGCTTATTGAATTTTCTAATACAAATAACAAAACGCTCTAAATAAATAATAATTACTTTTTACTGTTGTTAACCCAATATTTTTTGGTGGGTATTGTTTATTTACTACATCATCTTAATGTTGTGATCATTACTCAGAATTAAAAAATAATAATTTGTTGTTACAGAGTGAAATATGTCAACAATTGTATGACACAATCCGGTCATTCAGGAAGGAGGATGGTAGTCTTCTTTGCGACTCATTTATAAGAGCACCGAAAAGGCGTCAGGAACCTCAGTATTATGAAGTAGTGTCACATCCCATTGACTTGCTAAGGGTATGTAACTTGTTGTAGAGGAATAAATTTTACTTGTAACAAAGCTTGAAATAAATTATTTATAATTGAACACTCATGAACCGTCTTAACAGGCACAAACTGTCTTAGCATAATTATTAGTTATATATGAACTTAATGTAATGTTGTACAAATTTTATAAAAAAAAAATGTTTAAAATATTAATAATATTTGTTAACTTATTATTAACAAAGACTTGCTATTTTAAATGTTTCATAGTGTTATATTTAAATGTGTGTTGCACATTACTCATAAGTATATACACTAATAAGATGTAAAGAAATAAAAATTGTTAAATATTTTGAGCTTTGGACTCTTACTCTTAAAGGTCTTACATATCTTGAAGTTTTAAGTAAAGGATACAATTTTAACCTAAAACAACACACTTTTAAATACATATATGGTTATTAACCACAGGTTCAGCAAAAATTAAAAACGGACACATATGAAGACATAGAGGAGCTGTCACGTGATATTGAACTTCTTGTCAACAATGCTAAAGCATTCTACAAGCCAGAATCCGAGGAATACAAGGATGCAAATAAATTGTGGAAGCTATATACTAAAACAAGGCAGAGTTTGGAGATTGGTATGTTTCATGTTAAAAAAGTAACTGAGTGAGATTGTTTTTTATTTATTCAAGCTCTAATGTACTGCCACCATAGCTCAATAGTTAAACATGTTGCCTAGTATTGTGTTTAGCATAAAAAGTTCTGGATTTGTGTAACAGGCTTGATGAGTTACATTCCTGTATAAAAATAAATTACTTACTAGGATTCTAGGGGAAACTAGAGTCAAATAAGATAATAATGTAACATGTAGATATTTATAGACTAAAAATAATTTATAATTAAATACTTTATTGTGTATTTTGATCTTTATACATTGGTCATTGATTATGGTTTTTAATAATACTATAACAATAATAATAACTTACAATTCTGTTTTAGTTGTTATTGTAAAATATCTCTAAATGATACAAAGAGCTATAACTGATTTATATTTTGGGTAATAATAATTTAACTTTAATAAACAAAAAACATAAAGTATAACAGTTTGCCCGAAAACAACTTATTACTTTTTAATTACTCATACAACACATAACTCTTGGTAAACAGGCGAAGAAAGTAAAACACCCAAGCTATCACGGACCAGCTCTTCAAGTCGCAGATCAGATGTCGCCGAAGACATCTCTGAAACTTCAACAAACAATGAAGAAGACAATATTTATGAAGAGCTCTTTAATGCTGTAAGTGTTATATGAATAAGAAAGATTCATTATTGATTATATTCTTTACCACAACTCATCACTCCAAAACTCCTACAGGTCATGACAGCGAACATAGATGGACGTCTACTTTACAAGCCGTTTCAATTTCTGCCGTCGAAAAGGCGCTATCCTGACTTCTATGAGGTCATCACCTATCCCATAGACCTCAGAACAATTGCACAAAAGATACAAGCAAGTGAATATACCAGCTTGAATGATTTAGAGAAGGATTTGCTTCTATTGGTGAAAAATACGTGTTTATTCAACGAACCTTACAGCCAGATATATAAAGATGCTAAAATGTTAAAGAAGGTAAGTCTTTTGCCTTCTCGAATGTACTTGTTTAGTGCCATGTTTGCCTAATGTAGAAAAGGGTTTTATCAAACACTTTGTTTTTTATTTGTAACTGAATAATGAAACTTCATTCACAAAGGAAGAAACTTGGAAATGGGTGAAGTGGTTAGCAAATGTCGTGGACTGAACACTCGGCCTTCTACTTCCCTTCGTTCCCGTCGTTTCCTTTCGTCCTTGATCCCAACTCGTACTTGGCCATTTTTTTATTATACTCTATCTCGTATCTATATCTACAGATAATTCAATCGCGTAAGAAGGAGATAGACCAACAGGGTCGGCCGAAGTCGTCTGAACGTATTCGTAGCAAGCGTTCGTCCAGGGTGAACCCAGTTCTGTCCAGTCGGACTCTTGCCATCATGGAGCCCCCTGATTCAGAAGGAGAAGCAAATGTCATGGTAAAATACTACTTAGATTATGAATGCAACAATTGTTCGTGTTAGTGAGAATGACTGGATATTAGTCATCATTTTGTTCAAAAACTACTATACTTTTTTATTAATCACGACAAACCATCAATCACATATATCACGTAATCGAAACTATTATTAAATAAAAATATTTGAAAACTATATTTCATAACTGATTTTATTATTTTTGCTTAATTTTGTGAAAGTGCCCTGTGGGGCATGGGCCTAATACATTTCTGTGCTGATTATTTATTTTTATAGGCAAGTTAATTAATCGGACTTTTTTATGCCTTGTCTGGCCGAAACAGATTATAATTATAAAAATACTTAACACAATGATTGGAAACACGTCTAGCGAGAGTTTCAGAGTAGGACATTTAATAAATAGTATAGTATATAATATTTGAGACTCGAAACTTTATTCAATAAGATATTAATTGTTAGCATTCAGAAGACAGTGAAACCGATGAAGATAAAAATGAAAACGAAGATTCACCCCAGTGGAAGCTGTTGGAATCAGTTAGGAGTCATATGGGACGAAACGGTGAGTATTTTATATACAAGCACTCAATTCCGCTCCGTGAGTAGACATAAACTATTTTGATGGTAGAGTATTTTCTCCTTTTACAGTAGTTACTATGTATTATTTCTTAATATGCGCGAGAAATGCAAGTAGCAATATTTTGAAATTTTGAAAATTTGACGATGACGTGTGGGACACGGTAGCTCAATTGGTTAGAGCAACAGCACTGGACGTTTTGGATGCCGTTCAAGTTTTGCCCGGGTCGTAAAATGTTTTCAATCTACATTCGAATTTTAATGTATATAAGATCATTTAATATCCGTGTATCGTTTAAGCTTGGCCTGGTGTAAAAATGTATGACTGTATTGTGTTGCTTTTAGTACATGTGAAACACTTAAACACAGCTAGTAAGATATAAAAGAATAAAAAATCTTAGGTGTACCCTTAGCTGACCCGTTCTGGAAGCTTCCGTCGCGCCGTGAGTATCCGGACTACTACAAGGAGATCAAGAACCCAATATCGCTCAATCAGATCAAGAATAAGATACGGAGGGGCAACTACGGCACTCTGTCCGAAGTGGCCGGGGACATGAACATTATGTTCGAGAACGCTAAACAGTACAACGTGCAGTCGTCTAGGATTTATAAGGACGCTGTTAAATTGCAGAGGTGAGGCATTTTTTAAAGTAGTGTCAAACTAAATACTGTCTGTAGTTTACGCGAGTAGTACGCATCTAAATAAAACACTTTAACGGTCAAAACGCGATATATTTTAGTTCAACTTTTTTGAGAATTATTTTTTTTAAACTACGGCCCGGCGTTTCGGATGCTTTGCAGCAGCCGTGGTCACGGGGAGACCTATTAATGTCCCACGCTCAGAGCTGGGCACAAGTCTGGTCGGTTGGCGATAACGACTACCGCGACTAAAAAGTGGTAAAAACCGGGACAAACATGGTGATCTACAGTCGAGTCCATTAACCATGATATCAATCGATAGATATTTTTAATTTACAAAATTAACTTCAATTGGAACTCAGAACCTACTAAAAACACTTAATATTTCTTCTTTTATATATAAAAAAAATTTTTTTTTGTTAGTTTGAACGGTGTGTCTAATAGATGAGTTTGCAAAATAGCTGAATGCGTTATATAGATATAAATTTTTAAATCTTAAAATTCTCGTTATTAGTTTTACCAAGATAACCGCGTATGTCGAGAACAACAAACACTTATAAAAAATCTAATTTCGTTTCAGATTAATGCAACAACGTGTGCAAGAACTTTTGGACATCGTGCAGAGTTCGTCCAGCGACGACGAGAGTTTGTCATCTGTGAAAAATCAGTCCCAAGTAGCTACGCCGCGGCCGAGAGGTAATTAGTTTAATAAATATAAACGGACAATCTTAACAGGCAGGCAGAAGTGTAGTTATATTAAAAGAAGAGAAGAAAAGTCATTTCGAATTTTCATGTAAAGTATTTTCCCATATTCTGCAGCCATTCTGTTTCATATATTATTATTTAGTGTTTTCTTTGGCTAAGCTATAAATAGTAAAATTATCACGTCTGCTCCATGCTATCTATCTTATGAAGATGATTACTAATCAAGAAGAAATACAAAATAAGCTTTTAAACTTTCAGGTCGCCCCAGAGTGAACCCAGTACCTGCGCCACCGTCTCCATCGCCGTCCCTCAAACCCAATATGCCCCTTAAGAAGAAACTCCACTTCATTTCCAAACAACTAGTTGAGTTCTCTTGCTCTGATGGACGACAGCCCATGCTGGCTTTCATGGAGAAGCCCAGCAAGAAACTGTACCCCGAGTACTATGATGTGATCGACCGACCCATAGATATGCTAACTATCGAAGCCAATATCAAGGTTAGTTGGATTTTGGGCTGGTGACAATTGTATTATAATCTGCTGAGTAATGTGAAATATTTATGGAAACAAACTAAATATTATTGATATAAAGCACAAATAGATGCCAGCTATAGAGTATACAGATTCTCCTGTTTTGACACTTGGACACTTGTGTGTTTATTCAATGTGTATTTGAAAATAAGAGCTATGTAGCACCTCTGACATACTGCCTCTCACTGTGTATTGTGGGTCTAGACCCAACACATCTCTGTGCCCGTTTCCCGACCTATTTTATTTCCAGGCAGCGAGAGTAGTTGATTCTAATCAATCAGTCAGGCGGGACACAAGTAGACTTATGTGCCATGCCCAACACGAGGCAATTTACAATTTTGTTTCTCCGCTAGTCGAACCCAGGACCACAGCGGTATTGCGGTTTAACATAATGAACGAGAAAAAACTTCGTTCGTTATATAGAACTTGTAACTTGTCTTCTCAATATATTCTTTACAAATATATAAGTGTATTCTTATTAATAATTATAGAACGATCGCTACACTACCATTGACGAAATGGTCGCGGACTTCCGCCTGATGTTCTCAAACTGTCGCCAGTTCAACGAAGAAGGTTCTATTATATACGAGGTAAACAATTTTGAGATTGTGCTTTGACGTTTTAGGGAAACGTTTTTTTGTTCTTAATTCATGATTTGAAATAATTTAACAACTAAAGACAACAAGTATCTCTAAAACAGGTAAGAATAGCTTAAGGTTGTAAATAAAAACGTATGTTGTGTTTGTTATCTTATATTTCCGTGGTTTTATATAATACTAATTAACTTGGTTATAGAAGAGGGTGGTATACAAGCAGAAATCTCTTGTGAAGGTATGTAGCTTCTGCCCGAGCTAGGCAATATCTTGTCGTGAATGTGTCGCTTGCTTTTGTTTTGGGTGAGTGTGGTACTTTTCTGAGAGGATTCTATTTACTTGCTTGTCGACTAGAAACTTGCACTTTATTTGATAACATTAAACGATTTCGAAGAATTGTCTTATTGAATAGGCTCCTTGGTAAAATAGCAGTAATGTATTGCTATTAGCAATAGTTAGGTTCGATTCTTATACATAGTTTATAATAATTATAAAATATATTACACAGTGTGAAGAGGCGGAAGTTTGAACAGGATGGAGTGTCAAATATCAGTCAATTTAAGAAACCATTTTTCACTAATGGAAAAGCCTTTAAGTGTCTCTAAATTTCCAAAACCAAAATATAGCACTTTTAACAGTACCTCGTGGATTTCGCAAATATATCATATATATGTAGTGAGTTGGTTAACATATATTATACTTGGTGAGATATTTGCTTGTGTGCCAAAATCTTCAATACAATAGCACTTTATAACTAACTAGGTTCAACCAGAAGTATGTTAAACGTCATTATTAAGTTTTTATTCAAAACATAATTAACATCTATACCAGGATGCGAATCTTCTACAAAAAGTTCTGAACGAGAAGTTAAAGGAGTTGAACAGTTGTATCGAAAGAAAAACGCCAGTGAAGACGTTCAAAGCGGCCAAGTCAAGGCAAATGACGCCGTTTGAACAGAAGCTGAGGACTCTGTACGACGCTATCAGGGACTATCGGGATCCTAAAGGTAAAATATTAATGTATAAGAAATACTTTGAACAAGCACACTTACTTATATTTAGCTACAAAATTATTGAAATAGCCATTTTATAAACATCAAAAATACATTTATGTAAATGTGTCACACCAAGGATCTCTAGTGTTTTATAACAAGTATTTATTTTTGCCATATAACAGGCAACTAGTGGATCAAACTTCTGTGCCTTGCCTGACCAAAATAATTTTTTGTTTCCCTGAGATTCGAACCCCGGACCTCTCGTGTTTAACGCAAAGCGACAACGCGTTTAACCATTTAGCTACAGAGGCGGTCCCGTTTAATAATTAAGATGTTTTATTTACTTCTAGCTAACCGTCAACTGGCACTGATTTTCATGAAGCTTCCATCAAAAACGGAGTACCCTGACTACTACGAGCTCATCAAGAACCCCATAGACATGGAGCGAATCGCCCATAAACTAAAGAACGGGGTGTACACATCTGTGAACGAATTAGCTTCGGATTTTATACTGATGTTCGACAACGCGTGCAAATATAACGAGCCGGATTCGCAGATCTACAAAGATGCGTTGATATTGCAACGGGTCTGTCTCCAGACTAAACAAATGTTGAGGTAAATATATGCGAAGTGGTTTAATATTTTGCTTGTTGGCCTTGTCGTATAACCTATAGTTAAGTCTAAACAAATTGTAAATTTTCAGAAAAAATGCAGTAGTTGTTGGTAGGATTATCGAAATTCCATTGATAAATTATCTTTCAACGCCTTTTTTTTCTGGAATATTTTATAATGAAAACAGTTGGTACTAAATGTAAAAGTAATATTGTAATGTCTGTTTATAATCTTCCAGAGAAGACGATGATGCAGTGCCTGACGTACCAGCAGCTGTACAGGATCTATTGCTCAATCTCTTCACCACGGTCTATAATCATCAGGATGAAGAGGGAAGGTAAAATAACCTGAATACTATATACTAAATTAAATGGAGTGAGTTTTGTGCCTTCTGCGCTTAGAGTGTGCTGTATATCCTAAGTAGGCTAGAATTTTATCAAAGACTAGCTGCGCCCGCGACTTCGTCCGCGTTGAATAGTTATTTTTTGGGCAATAAAATTAGTTTTTTTAAATAACCTCCTCTGCTTTATAAATAATAGCTGTCACGCCAACGTCTGCGTCTCGTCGTTACGCCTTCACGGACATTGACAAATCCTAAGTCTTTATAGACTGAATTTGAATTTTTATTTCTTGTTAGGTGTTACTCAGACAGTATGGCGGAACTACCCGAGCATGATGAAGCAGCTAATGGGGAGAAAGTTCGTGCGATTTCATTGGATCTAGTTAAACGGAGACTGGACAAGGGATTGTACAAGCGCTTAGATCATTTCCAACAGGATATGTTCGCTGTTTTTGAGAGGTAAGATTATACACTAATGTAATCAAAAATAATGAGAAGCCATTAGTGGCATAAGCGATACAAAGAATAATTATAATATTATCTGTCTGTATTTCGCGACTAATGCACATTAAATACAATACATAACAGAAGGCGCTAGTGTAGCAGTTTGACTAGACATTATTGGCCCACATGTTTTCATACTTTTGAGTGGTATGTGTAGTAATTTTAAAAAATGATGCTATTATTCAAGCCCAGTTTCATATTTATACAGATTATAAATATGAAACTGGGATATTATTATTAGAGAAACATGTTAATTGGAAAATCTTTACAAAGTCAAATATAAATATAAGAATTGAATTGAGACCTAATATTAGCTATGTATTTTACGTTTTTACTCTAGTTTTGCATTATTTTTAATACGGAATTCTTAATCTGTAAGCCCTCGTAATTAAATCTCTTTTATTAACCCTAGAGCTCGTCGTCTCTCGCGCACGGACAGTCAGATTTTCGAAGATTCAGTGGAGCTTCAAACCTACTATATCGAACAGCGAGACCTGTTGTGCCGCAACACTCTCGTTTCTCCCGCGCTTAACTTTACCAGAGATACCATGACAACGTCAGTGGAGCTGGTGAAACAATGCAAGCTTTTACAAGAGAATGATGAAGATGATGAGACTAGGTGAGTTGTTTTGTATTATATTAGATCCGCTTCGAATTAAGTTTGATTCTATACATGATGATACTATACATAAAATACTGAGAAGAAAACAACGACTGATTTGTATTCTTCGACGAGCTCCTTGCAGTATTTTTTTCTGGAACGTTTGGAAAATGTTATTATGCCTATTGAAATCTGACCTGTAAAGTGTAATTGCGTTTGAGTCTGTGGATTTCTTAATGGCTCAAGTAGTTCACCTTCCATTAAGTGTCCACTTGCTTGTATGTCCTTGTCACAAAAAAATAACTAAGAAGCGCATAGACTAACTAACTAACTGAATTTTTTTTTTATTTTATTTAGGTCTAGTATAGACGAATCGGTCCTATCTGGTGCCGCACCGCCCAAGACTCAATACGGCAAAGGCGATTTCGTGTATATCCAAGCGGAACGAGGTACAAAGGAACCAACAATTGTGCAAATCGAGAGGCTTTTCACCAACACGGACAATGTGCCTATGGTCTACGCTAACGTTTATTACCGGTGAGATATTTCTAGGTTACCCAAATTATGTATTTAGATCTTATATAAGTTTATATCTTTGTTCTCTTTATAAAAGTTACCTAAAAGAAATACCTAACGCGATAGACAATAAAAAGATTTCTGAGTAGCTCAATACATCGACTTAATATATGAATGTAAGATATAAAGTGTTATTTCATTTCGTTCTCCATAGGCCTCACGAAACTTTCCACGTGCGCACACGCAAGTTCCTACAACAAGAGGTTTTTAAGACTGAAACACATCGCAGCGTGCCCCTCGACCAAGTAATAGGTCGTTGCTACGTTATGAACGTCAAGGAATATTTCAAATTTAGACCAGAAGGTGAGAAATCATATATTCAGTGTGTGTGTTAAACTTTTTTCATTTCTTGATGTTAATGGTCCTTCGAGCCAGATAATTATTATACTATGTTTTGTTTTTAGGTTACCCGGACAAGGACGTGTATGTGTGCGAGAGTCGATACAACTCAAGGCAGCGCTGGTTTAAGAAGATCAAAGTTTGGGAGGGAGCTGAAAAGGAGGCTACACTTATTCCAAGAGAGGTAAATTCTCCTTCCTAAATTACAAGAAATATAATACCAGCCGCACCCCAAAATCTTCTATCAAACGTTTGCAGCAGCACATTACACTTCTATCTGAAGTATAGATCATGATTGTCCGTCCTCTTATGCCTTAATTATTGTCTATTTTATATTATATATATGAGAGTGGGGTGAATCATATTTGCAACAAACCATACAAAAATATTACATTCTGTCCTATTTACCGTACCCGAGATGTTATATAGCAATTAGCCTTTTTAGATATATTTTTATCCAATTACTTTTTTTTTCTGTTGTTCATTATCTGGATCGGTAGTTTTAGCGCGTTTACCAAAATGAAAAAATCTTCAGTATTACAATATTCGAATATAATTGTTATCATATATTTTTGTAATGTTCATCATTAGGTGCCCCTAGAACCGAACAGAACCGTTTCAGTGTTCCGCGAACGGGTCGAGAAGCATAAAGATGAGTTGGCTGAACTAGAAGTATTGGAAAATGTTCAAGAGAAAGAACGACCTGTAAGTTTTCCGCTGTCTTTTTTTTTATACTTAAAATTTAAACATTATAACAAATGTTTTTTCTATTAAGGTTTCTAATATATAAACCTACTCACATTTATTAACATAATTATTTTAACACCTATTATAAACAACATTTAAAAAATAATAGTTTCCTAAAATTTAACCCCGTATTACATCTTTATTTATCTCTTAAGCCGTATAAGACAACGATGAGCGAGAAATGCAATAGGCTAAATAAAATTCGATGATGAAGATACGGTAGCCCAATTAGAGCGGCGACACGAACGTTGCGGATGCCGGTTCAGTTTCCGCCCGTGTCGTAAAACGTATTTTAAAGTCAATTCTTTCTATTACAGGATGTTGTAATGTACAATCCTCTGGGAACCGATGACGAAAATACATACTACGAGCAGTACAATACTGTATGTTCGGGTGTCATAAAGACCGGTGACTATGTCTACGTGGTGACTGATGGGGGTAAACAGCTCATCGCGCAAGTGGACACCATTTGGGAGACGGGAGAGTGAGTAGAATGAGAGGCATTTATTGAATTTCACTGTTGTATATAGATTGATAAACGAGGGCTTACACAAATATACAGTGAGGGTCTTAGTTTGGTAGGACAATGGGCTCTACTTACGTAAGTAAGGGCTATTTAAAATTGAGATAGTTTACTCAAAAAAATGTCTGCTACACGCTTCCAAAGTAAGATTACTAAGTCAAAAGTCTGGGCCGATTTTACGGATGTACCTATTTTGTAAAGAGTTACACATCTCATTTCGTCGTGTTTTATAACAATAAACTAATTTGCGCGTAAATGTTTGTCTCTAGTAACAAATGCTACTTCCGTGGTCCGTTCCTGATCTTCCCATCCGAGGTGGCTAGCGTCATTAACAAGGTAAATATTTTTATATTAAATTAGGTTGTAAGTTTTTTTAATATTTACATTTTTGTCAGTCCTATTTTTGTATATATATTATTTGTCTTTAATTTATAGCCATTCTACAAACAAGAAGTATTGCTGACGACTATGCACGACACGAGTCCTCTGGTGGGAATTGTCGGCAAGTGCTCCGTTTTGGACTATGACGATTATCTCAAATGTAAGTTGTATATTGTTTTGAGATTAAAATGTTTTTTTTTTAGCAAGTTTAGACCGTTTACAAACAAAGTTTTACAAATTGAAATTTTACATTCAGTCATTAATTCAGACATTATTTGATATTCAATAATAATAACGATAGTCATTAACCATTATATGATCTGTTTGTAGTTCACGCAAATAGTACACGCAGTACCACTATTGCTACAAAGGCTGGTGTAAACGTCGGGGCATAGTTAAAAAAAATCAAATCTATTTCGCAGGTCGCCCGACAGAAATATCCGAGAACGACGTGTACGTGTGCGAAGCACTGTACGACGAGTCGAACCGCGTGGCGCGCAAACTCAAATCGGGGCTGAGGAAGTTCGAGCACACCAAGGATGTAACTGTGGATGAGGTTGGTTCTCTAAGATTGCTTTTACATCTTTATTTCTACACTAGCTGTAACAGATTAAAAGAAGATTGTGGCGTACATTATTCTTGATAATTCTCTTATTCCTTGGGTACCTTGAACCGTTCTCTTAACGCACGCAACAGAAACCCATAAAGATGAATATCGTTCCACGTTTTTACCACATTTCCAACTAATTATGTTTGTCTGTGATGTTTTATAGCCTAGCCTTTCTTGATAAAAGCTTTAACGAACACAAAAACAATTTTAATTCGCCTCATTACTTCCTACGATTAGTGTGTTCAAACAAATAATTAACAATAACTGTTTGTAGGTAATTGAAGAAATAATATCCAGCAATCTTTCACATTTATGGTACAATCGAAACACAGGCACCATACACAATAAAATGTGAAATAGTCAGATTATTTTAGGATCTAGCTTTCTGGCCTTTATTTTGTTTGCCTATTATCTAAAGCATGTAACACGCCTTTTTTCTGAATTATAAAATTGTATCTGAGCCAGGGACGTAACAACGAATACGCTATTAATAATAATAATTAATTAAATGTCGGGCAAAATGGTTAAAATCATTTCTTGAATACCGTTTTGCGCCAAAAATATTAATTTATCGTTTATACCTATTTTTCTATTTAAGTACGTGAGAAAAAAAATTAAGCTAAACGTTGAACTTCGTTTCTTCCAGATCTACTATTTCCCGAAGCAGTTGGGTCCGCCTGCGCTGGCAACACCTCACGATGTTACAACAGCCACCGTGTTCTCACAGAAAACATTTAACCCTACTATCAACACTGATTCCATGGTAAATTAATTTAATATATTACAAAATGTGTTGGTTGTGGGCTGTTTTTTGTATTATATCTTACACGCAAATATAAGGTCAGTTATATATATCCAATAATTATGTTACAATGTTTTTCTGGAATTCGTCACTTACTTAACGCAAAATTTAACTTAATATACTATCCCTTAATTTCAAAAGTCTCCGCCTCCACTTACTTATGTTTTTCTTTCTATTAGGACGTAAAGCCACAGTTCACGAATCTCATAAACACGACCATAGGGAGCCAGGACGTTGAAATGCTTCTTGAGAATTCACTTGACGATTCGTCGCTAGCGTCGCCCGCTACGCCTCTGTCTATTGGTGAGTGTTTTTGAAGTATTTAAAGATAAATCTACTTAACATGTCCAAAGTCGCAAAGTCTCCAGTTTCACTAAAAAATATTTTAAAAGATATATAACATATTTTCAATTGTATCTAGGTGGTAACAGCAATCCATACAACCCGTCCCTGCTTCAAACTCCATCACAAGAGAAAACAAGCAATACAATAACGACGCCAGCCACAGGCAAGAAGAAGAAAGAGCAGAAACAGAAGATAGTAACCGGATACATTCTGTACTCGAGTGAAATAAGAAAGGCAATTGTCGCTAACAACCCGGAGTGCACGTTTGGTAAGATATTGAGCAAATACTGTCAGTAGTTTACGTGAGAACAAGCCATTTAAATTAAATACTAACGGTTTAAAACGCGAAATATATTAGTTACACTTATTTAAATATTATATTATTATTAATCTCCCCGTGACCACGACTTCTCCAAAGCATCCGAAGCGTCAAGATAGTTAAAATTTAAAACTCTACATTACATTTACTAATTTAAAATTGTATGTAATGTATTGTACAGCAATAATATATTATATAAAATTGAAATTTAACTAGCAAGTGAAAAAAACGAATTATGTTATTTGGATGTGAACAATGTTTATGCGGGAACACCGTCGTGCTTATTATTAAGATTTTTTAATACAAATGTATTATATATAATAAATCAACCTTTTAACTTTTGTCAGGTGAAATCTCGCGTATAGTGGGCAACGAGTGGCGCTCACTGCCCGCATCCACCAAGCAATGTTGGGAGGAAAGAGCCGCCCGGTGCAACGAAGAGACGGCTGCTCGTCTGGCTGAGGAAATGAAAGAGTTAGCCCAGCATGTAAGTGTACAAAAGTTTTCCGTGTCCCCTCGTGGGGCATGGGGCGTACACAATTCTGTGCTCTGTCCGACCGAAACAATTTACTGTTTAACCGCGATCGAACCTAGAACCTCTCGCGCATGAACGCAATGTTAGGTGCAACATTTAACCATTTAGCAGAGGTGGAATTATATGGTTGTATGAAGAAGGCCTATAATCAATATTTCAAAGGATAGAATGTATGACGCTTGGCGAACGTAGATACGGTAGCTCAGTTAACAGAACAACGACGAATACTGGTAGTTCGAGTCCGTATAAACTAAAAAAAAGTCATAAAATGTCTAAGACTAAATATGCCATGTTTACCTATTTTTATTGTAAAGTAAGAGAATATTACTAGAAAAACATAGCAGGATGTATAGATTACCTATAATTACATCCGTTTTATTTTGACATTCATTAAAAATATATAGATTCAATGTGAAAAAAAAGTGAAAGCCCGTTTCCCCCCTCATGGGACATGGGGCGAACACATTTCTGTGTCCGTTTCACTGATCAATTCTTTTAATGGGCGAGTAGTTGATCAGACTTCTATGCCCTGCCCGATCGAAACAATTGTTTTTTGTTTTCCCTGGGATTTGAATCCAGGACTTGCGCTCAACGCAATGCTAGGCAATACGTTTACCCATTTGGCTACAGAGGCGGTCAAAAGCATGGTTAAATTACTTTTATTTCCAGACTACAATGGAGATGACGTACGAATGTGCTTGGGACACATGCGACTATCAATTCGAGGACATCAACGACTGCATGGAGCATTGTATTGGCGAAGGTGGAAACAGTAAGTCTAAGCTACAATACCATTCATTATCTAAAGACATATCTTACATTCTTACTAATACAATCATATAAATTAAATATCGCTTCTAGATTTTTAAAAAATGTACGACAAGGGCAGGATTTGAACTGGCATCCATACTGTGCTGCTCAAAACAATTAAGCTAGTTGATATATGACACGGTAGCTCAATCGGTTAGGTCATTTAGTGTAGTTTATTTTTATGAATCTAGAATCGATTTTTAATTTATATCATTGTGAAAAATATTAAGGCTTCTAATACATTCCTGTTAATTTTAACGCTGCCAGTGATTGGGACGTTTATCGAAACGAAGAAAAGTAAATTGGAGCGTGAGTATTCTTTGTTTTTATATTTACGTAGTAAGAATATGTAACCACAACAGAGTCTCGATAGAAAAGGATCGCTCATGATTATTCTGTAATTCATTCACCAATCACTAGATGATAGAAAAACTGGGTCACTGCTAGTCGATCCGTCAAGTCATTTATTTCTAGTTTAATTATAACGCAGTTGTGGGACAGTGACAACACTAATTATTTTGGTGACTCAGCTCATTACCACACAGAACACATTTTTAATAATCCGTTATCTATAGCCGGACACGTGCAGCAGCACTACCGAGGGGGCGGAGCCTCCGGCGCCGGCGCCGCCGCAGACAGCAAGGAGTACCCTTGCCTGTGGCGCACTTGCACGCGGGTGCGTAAGGGCCAAGCGCCCTTCCCGAACCTGCCGCGCCTCTTGCGGCACGTGCGAGACTTACACGTCAACAAGGGGAACGGACGGCTCATCGCGGTGCACGAACGGTCTAGGTGAGTCAAATTCATTTCTACTAGCTGACCTGGCAAATATTCTTTTGGCATGTGAAAACTGTGTCAGCGACTTCGTCCGCGTGCAATCAAAATCTGTTTTTGCAGACTGCCTCTTTCTTCATCTTAAATTTTAAGCTGTTACCCACGACGTCCATCGCATCCCGTCATTCTTGCAAGTTAATCTTGAAAGATAGACATATACTGTCCCTGGCATTTTTTAAGATCATTTAAAGGGGGCTCATTTTTTTCAGACAATTTTTTTGGGTATCTTCAACCGTTTTCGCAGCGTATTCAACGAAAATACTAAAAGAGAAATACAAAAACGGGAAACATTCCCGTTTTTGTCACATTTTCCTCTGTTCTTTCACTCCTACTTGTCACAGTCTTATGTTTTTTAACCTAAAGCCTTCTTCGGTAAATAGTTAAACTAAAATAAAAATAAATTTATTTCGAGCTACTAGTTTCTGAGATTAGCACGTTCAAACAACTTAACTCTTCAGCTTCATAATATTAGTATAGATTCGTATCGTTTTTTCGAGTTATCTCATGGATATTTTAATATATAGAGAGAGATTAAGACTAGGTACAGCAGTTGAGACTTATATTAAATCTATTTTTTACAATTACCCAGTAAACTAATTGAATTGAGTTGATATTTTTCCTTCTTTCTTTTTAAATAAATTATTGAATATAATCGCAGAAACTTCGTTCCCTCTACAAAGAAGCCGCCTAAGACTTACACTACGACACTTAGGGCTGGTGTACTTTCTCCTGGAGGTAAGCAAATTAGAATAATTGTAATGATTACATCTAATCAAAATAATTTTTATCATACTATTATACAATACCTTTTAAAAGTCAACTGAGTAAAATACGTTACTTATAAAAATGATATATAGGCAAAAGATTTATTATTTTAACATTTAAAACCAACCCTTCAAACAATTTTATGTGATTTACAGCATCGCTATCTGGTATGTCTCCGATGGCTCGCAGCACACCGAGTCCAGGATGCGGAGAAACTGGTGTACTGGCACCAGGAGCTCGGCCCACTTTGGAACCACTCTTCGTCTCCGCACCACCTCGGGTCCAACGCGTCACGCATTCCGACACATATATAAGGTAATGTGAAGTTTTATTAAGGTAAAACTTTAAAAAGTACTAGCAAATTCTTTGGAAATATAAACTGGTAGTACTGTTTATATACCATGTTACCAAGTCCTAGAAAAACTGCAAGCACTTTATAATGCTAAAATAATTATGTAATTGAAGTACATATTTAGGCAACCGGTTCTTTCTAGTCTTAATTTGGAAACTCTTTTAAGTAAATAATACCTGACGTGCCGGGGTTTCCAGCTCTTCCATATCATTAAATTGAACATGCAAGTTGTTTGAAATATTACGGTTTGTTGTATGTGTATGTTGATGTGTATGGGTGTGTTAGAAAGTGATTGATGGTGAGGATGTGTAATGATTTTCTATGAAACTTCAATATATCCTTTAGCTGATTGTAGCTTACACTTTTTAACCATTTACTAGCTAACTTCTCGAATCGTAGGTAAATATACATCATTTAGAAGCTTATTTATTTGTTGTAGAAACAGACCGGTGTACACAATAGTTACCACCATTTATGATATCGTTTTGTAGTGAACAAACATATTAATATCTTTATTCCTTTTTCTATCCAGATACATAGAAGGACTTCATTCGGAACAGAAATACATAACTCCATGGGAAAAATCTTTAACGCCGATGCCGGCGAACCCCGATCCGTCGCAGTTCAACATGCATAAACTACCCGCACACTGGATGACAGAAGACGCTATCAACGGGTACCTTGCGCACGATAAAACCGTTTCAGAGCTGGATATACAAAAGATGGATCAAAATACGAAGATTTTGAAGGGCCTCTGTACGCTCAGAGACTTTTTAATGAGAGACGCGTACGCAATATCTAAATCGTACTGAAATTTACATAACATTATTGTTTAATGATATTTTATAGACTAAGTTATATTCAAGAGTTTAACACGCGTCTACATTAAGGTGTACGGTATTTTTAAGTTAGATAAGATTAAATAATCCACCCCTCATAAATGCAATACAGGTTCTTTTATTTCAATATTTCCCTTGAAGATGGCTCTTTCTTAGAATGGGGAACAAAAGAGTCTCTGTCTGTTAAAATAGTTGGCTTAAAACAAAGAGAAATAATATTCCAGAATTAGTAATTTTTTTTCATACCTTAACTCTTATTATAAATGATCCATAATCTTTCAGTCCAGCTAAGCATAAATTTGTCCAACGATGCCTAACAATTAACCACACAGTTGAACTAGCAATCGATTCATTTATTTTCAAAGGGTGAGGTCCAAATTAAGATAAAATATAAGCTTAAATCACATTTTATTAGGCTTATATAAATATGAAAAATATATAGGTGCATATGGCATAACTTAGTAGTGATAGACTATACATAACTTATTTTAACCGCTTTCCACCTCTTCCTTCATTATCCTTATCAATTCATTAAATTTACTTCCATCAAAAATCAATACCTGAAACAAAGTACAATTTGATATCATAGTTAAAAGTAAGGGTTGATAATTTGAAAAACTTGTCATTAATTCCAAAGGTATGGGGATACATAGTTTTAGGTCCTTATCTTAATTGTCATGAATCAGTAGAACCAATACACATATCATAAGCCCAAGACCCAATAGAAATACAAATACCAACCTTACGGTATGGTGTCATAGCACCTCCATCAAAGTCCCACTGCGAAAGTTCAGCTTGCTCAGTCACATCCACTTCAAAAGTTGCCAGCGCTACGTCCAACAACGGTTTCTCCTCTTGGTTGGCAAATAAAATGTCAGAATCGTCTTCTAAAAATTGATGATTTGAAAATTGTTATAACAAAAAATAAAACTTTGGTACACCAATATCTAAATTGGTATGGCCCACATCTAAAAATAGTACTTACCACTGGTTTTATAAGTTTTACAGATCCACACAAGATACTGGAATGTATAAGGCATGTTCCTTTTGATAGCTTTTTCGACTTCAGACTGTAGAGAGGAGAACAGCGGCACACTTATACCTGCTGGAATGTTTAAGATTCTGAAAGTATAAAACAAAAATATTTACATGTCATTGATGTAACAATACTGTAATTTATAATGTCACAAAACACAACAGTACTTTGGCATAATACACTTAGATAACTTTAAAATCAAGTACACAAGGTAGACAATATTACACTATCATCTTAAATGTTAAAAACATTTTATTAAGAAGATTAAAATAACCTTTCATTAATTACTAGTCCAACTTGGCTGGATTCATCTGAAAGAATCTTTTTGACTAATGTCTTGGTTTTTTCATCTGCATTATCATCAGCCAGTGTGGTTAATAGATTCCGAATTTGCTTAACACATTGCTCTTCCTGAAAGGAAAATAAAAACAATCAAAAGCTTCTCCAGATTGGTATGATAAAGGGCTAATTAAAAAAAAACATCCGTCAGTGCATTATTGTTACTCTTAAAAGGATATTCTATAAATATGGTATAGGATTATTTTTTTAAATTTATTTACCTTTTTCTTAGTTATGTTGATAACCGTAGTCACTCCAAATACTCCATCACCAACATCATCATCGTCGTCATCAATACCATCATCCAAACATTGCTTTACAACACTACCCACATAGTTTTGAGCTGAAAAAAATATATGTAAACATGATATTATGAATAGCAAAACATTTTAAATATCATTCAAAATAATTTATTCTATATTAAGTTACAAATACCAAGACTTGCAATTCAAGAAGTTGAAAGTATCAATGAAGTTGTAAGTATACTATACTTACAGATAATAATTTGTGCTAAAGCTCCCAAATCAACATTAGATTTCAAGAAGAGCTGCCGTAACAATTGTTTAATGCCATGATAGTCACAGTCCTCTGGGTTCCGGCCTTCGAAATCAGCTTGTAATTCCTAAGTCATTTACAAATCATTAACTATATTACTTATAATGCTCACAAGTATCTCGATATTGACTGCAGAATAATTTTAAGGCATATTACAAATGAACTAAAATACGGCAATAAAAATAGAGACGTATTGGAGTATGTGACAGGTTTTTTTTCGAATCTAATTGATTTCTAGATAACTATTGTATATAAATGATTATGATAATAGAGGAATATGTATGCCATGTGCTTATAGGTTATATCGAACATACCTTATCCCCAACGTAGTTACCGTCTGAGTCAACATCTGAATCGCGGTCGCTATCTACTTCTTGCTCTTCCTCACTTTCGCTATCATTTTCTAACATTTTATTCTTTTTGTTAGACATCTCAAAAAGACTTCGATTTTTCACGCCGACACCAACAAAAACAATACTAAAGTCAAAAAACTGACAGCTAGCGAATGTCGAATGTGATTTTTACTTGACATTGACAGTTGACAACAAAAGATATATAATGCATAGGATATGCTGAAGAAGATACAGATAAAGCGAAAAAAGCGTAAAATATATAATGATTAAATTCTACGTGAATTTTATTCTTGATGGTAGGTATTTATAAGAAGAGTAAAATACGACCACGATGTTTTAATGATCTGGAAGAAAAATATAATCAAAAGAATATTTAAAAAATACACAAGTGTCAAATTAGTTTCTACTTGCCGTTGTAAAACTTTCTAAAGATATTACAGAAAAGCCATAAGTCGTGATGTGCACTTCACGTTGCGATCTAAAATTAAATATATCCCAGTTTAAGTATTTATGATAGTCCCCATTTACTTTATCGCATGAAAAATAATAAACAAATACTTTTTACCTATGAAGCATAATTAAAATGGAACCCCGTATTTTCTTTGAAGCATTATACCATCCACTGGAGTACAAGGCATTTGCAACTTTTTCGCTCTAAAATAGCAATCATATTTGAAAAATGTTTTGAATATTAAATCACACAGTGAAGTATACCTAATTAGTAATAATACACACAGAATCTAGAAGTCGTTGTCCGTACCAGCACAACATCCAAACTTGTGATATAGCCGACGTTAAAAAGAATTTGTAAATCAATTCGTTCCATTTCTCCACAAACTGAAATGTTAAATTTTTTAAGAGGATTAAATCTTACTGTAATGGTAATAAATTATTCGTTACTCTAAGGCGGTATTTTCGTCTCTTATGGCGAAAATAGATATTATCGTTTACAAATAAATATTATTAGGCGCATTTCTTAAGAAACTTACCACGCAACAGAATCCACAAAAACATATTAGAATTGAGCTATTTATGAAGTTTATTAGCAATGAAAATGTGTACATTTTTTCAACGCTCCCCGCTAATCTAGAATGGTTAAATAAGAAAAAATTGTACATAATGATATAGTATTCGTTGTATATATACAATGTTATAATAAAAAAGATACTTGAATGCTGCCAACAAGCAATTTAAGCTGATTTTAATATTAAACTTACATAATGATACAAGAAAGTTGAGTAAGCTAGTTTATACATCGTCAATAATTACTAAACCGAATTAAATGAATTGTTATGGCCGCTCCACACTCTCCACGAGGCGACACGAGAGAACGCGAGTGCTAGAGTGTGGACGGTGCGCTCGTGTTCCCTCGCCGCTTTCTGTCGGTCTTTCGAGCTCGAGTCAAAAGACGCGAGAGGGCGAGGCGAGGAAGTCAACCACACTCTCCCGCTCGCTTACTTATTTGTTGACTGCTGCCGTCCATCTTGCACTAGACGTAACGACTAACTAAATAATATGGAGAGCGTGGATGACTAGCACACGTGCAGTCTCCGCTCGCCAAGACTCGTTGCGAAAGCCCCTAGGAGGCGCCTCGCGAGAGTCTGGAGCCGCCATTACAATCGAAGTAAGGACACTCTTACCGAATTAGTGCCTGATGACGAACAACCAAAACCTGTATTTCACTAAGATGTATATTCTCCCATTCCTCTAGTGTTATTAAGGGTAGTTGTGAATCGAATTTTTTGTCAAAATCTTTATTGTAGATTCCTTAAGAAAATCGAACATATACTAAGTATATTAATATTATAACAAAAGTTTCACATGTTAGTGTAAACCATTTCAATAAGTCCACAAGTCTAATTATTTTTTTCATACGAATAAAAAAAAAATTGCTTTTCACTTTACCTAATGGATACTCTGCTATCAATTGCTTATCAACAGGTACGTATATCAAGTGTTGTATTCTTAGCGCCAAAATTTCAAATTGCATCGTAATATTACCCAAGAAAAAAAATAATAGGAGATCGGCAGCAAGCATGAAGAATACTATGATGAAAGCTGGGAAGGTACAATAGAATTCAAAGTAAATATATATTTACTTTATAATAAAAATATAAAAAGAGATCTAAAATTGGCCAGTAAGCAATAATTACAAGACGATTAAGACTCGACCTAATTACATGGTATAGGGATTTTTATTTGTTTTGTGTTCAATTTTATTGGCCTCAGTTTCTGTTGGTATTATTAATTTTCAGATTAAATATTCATAACCCGATTGAAATAATAAAAATATTCAAGCAATAGTGGTTCAATGGTCTGTAGTCTGTACCCGACGCCTGCTCATGAGGACGGGAGTACGGAACCAGTTTGTCTTAGGACCAATCATTTATTGTGAAGTGTGTGTTTCATCTGCCACACACACCAACACACACACTGGATTAAGGGCCGAGTCTCAGTCCTGATTATAAGATTTTGCCTACTTTCACGAATCTCTCAACTCTATCTTCTATAAGAGCTATATGGTAGTAAAACTTACTTTGTGAGGTTTGTATCATCAGAATAATTTCATAGACAACAGGCTGAAATTGATCGAAAGGGACCCAATACTTGAAAGATAATAGCAACGCCACATCTTGCCCCATTAGACGTTTTACATAATTTATCAATGGTGAAGATATAAAGAAGACAATTAGGAAAATGTTACACCAAAAGTAACCTGCAGCAAACAGTGTGTGAAACATTAATTTCTGTATACCTTTATCGTGTTATTCGTCAATATTCTAAAAAATGGATTACTTAATCTTGTATAACTTTATCATGTATACTCGTAGATGTCCTTTCCAGGACTTTGAGGAACATGTAGGCTTTCAAATTTTAATATTGTTTAGTCTTAAGTAACCTTCGGCTATAAAATGATGTTGATTATATTTTTATTATAAACTATAGGTTACTAGACATATTATGTAAATAATTTATTTCCTAATTAAAATACTTAGTAGGTGTTTACTTTGATATTGAAACACACTTGTTCCCGAACGCGAGAGGATTCATTATGAATAAAGGGAGAGAATCTGGGATAGTTACGGTCTGGTATGGTACAGAATTTGAAGTTAAAAACTACATGCCTGAAAAAAAATTCTTGAAAATGTTGGATTAGATTTCAGACGTTTACTTTTTATACTGATATGTACAAGGGCCTTGAAATAATCGTGACTATTTTTTTATTATTAAATTAGTTTGACTCATATTCTTGAAACGTACAATATGCATTATGTTTACCTTTCATAACGAGACGAAGTTGTTTAATCATACCAATGATTATATCATGCTCCTCTTCAGACACTGTTCCTCTTGGCCACATTTCTCTCAGTTCCGATATTATGTTTTCAAATATAGGCCTGCACTTAACCATATTGTAAGACTTTGCCATCGCTGCATACCAATATAATGTATGAAACTTTTTATTTATACAACACTTTTATCAGTTTAAATTAAGCGATTTATTGATATTGAGCAGTTTAAATAAAAAAATATAAAGTAAGTAGATATTTTTGCTCCGTACAATACCTTAAATACGTTAAGTATAGAACGGCGACAGCTAAGCTAAAGAGTATGTCTTATTTTAAGTAAAAATAAAAATATTCCTGGTAATATTAATTAGTAAATTTGATTTTAAATACTGTCTGTTTACGCGAGTAGTACACATTAAAATAAAACACTAACGGTTTAAAACTGCAAGGACCCGGCCAGTCTCGCCAAATACCAACTTCGACGGTACAGATGGCGCTAGCGTAGCACTTGTTTTTTACTTTGACGTCAGAGACACCCTCCATCTTTAGTGTCCCCCAGACCACGGCTGCTGCATCCAAAACGACGGACCGCAGTTAAAATAATTTCAAATTAAATAAATTTAACTAATAAATATTGCGTTTTAAACTGTTAAGTGTTTTATTTTAATTTTATATTATATATAAACCGATATTTCTATCAAGCTTACCGGTCCAGCTCCTTATATATCCTATGTTAGGTACTTACGCCAGTAATCATTGTGCATTCCATACCTTGTTAAGGGCAAGGAATTGTCCTTCAACTACAAGGGCTATCTTATGCTACAGGTACTAAACAGGCAAATATAGGCAAACCCATGTACTCACCGACTAATATAAACCCAACACACGGCATCATAAGAAACAGGCTCTGCGCGTTGCCATTTTTAAGTTCCACCACCATACTTAAACATTCAATCATCGCTGCGAGAAAACAGGTATAGAAATACGTCCAAAAATAAGTCAGACAGGATACTCTGAAATTATTTTCTTGATCAGTCATTATAGACCCTTATTGTGGACCAAAGCTCCAAATACTTTGATGGGCTCGTTGGTGTAGCTTGCTAGTAATTAACGGGTTATAAGTTCGTATTATCGTCGTAAAGGAAATCTGGATATTAAATGACTTTTAAAAGTATGGACTCAGCACGGACGGACACGCTATGGATGTCGGTGCGTATCCCACCCGAGTAGTCAATTGTTTTTCAACCTAAATAGATTTGTAATTTATTTGTGAAAAATATTAAAGTTTTCAGACATTCACCTGTTTAAAACCTCACTTAACAAATTACTTATTTCTTCCGTCGGACTGATGTACGGAAGTTACTTTTTGACATTTTATAAACTCACCTAACAAAGAAGCTGTCTTGACAAGTCAGCCGAACCCCGGAAATTTTGCAAGCTACAATTGGGAGCTTCAACAAATCGTCATATTCTTTAATCTCGTGTACATTATCCTGAAAAAAATAAATAAATAGGATATCGCGTTAAATCCGGACCTGAAATTTTCTATAATTATAATTAATTTATTATGAAATATGTTCATTGTCTCCTCCCTATGAATAAAATTACAACTTCAGCGTATCATTGTCTTTCAGGTTGTTTGGCCTACGAAGAATTCTTCTCGCTCACTTCGGCTGAACAGCCCGAAAGACAATGATATGTTGAACGATGGCCGTCAAAGCCTTATACAATTTATTAAAATTACAACTTTTATTGAAACAGTTCCAG